TCAGACTGAAGCTGTAGGGGAGGAGGAGGCCTCACAGGGGCACACTGCCGTGTTGTGCAGAGGCCCCAGCACCAGGAAGGGCACACCTGAACACACACACAGTCCCACAAGCACCCATGTCATAAGTTTTGCCTGCTGTGGCCAGAGGTGCAGGGGCCCAGAACCCAGACTCCCCCTGCACCTATCTCCTTCACAGCTGGCAGGCATTGTGGCCACAGCAGGCCCTAGCAGGCCTGCATTTTTCACCCCCCATCCCCAGTGCCTTAACACACACACAGTATCACCTATGTTATGAGTTTTGCATCTCAGAAGTTTGAGGTGCAGTTTCCCAGAAACCCCTGCACCTATCTCCTTGAAACTTGGCAGGCTTTGTGACCTTGGCAAGAGCTACCACCCCTGCAGTTTTCACCATGCTGTGGCTTAACACACACACGTGACATGAGTTTTGCATTCAGAACTTTGAGGTGCAGTTTCCCAGATACCCCTGCAGCTATCACCTTGAACCTTCGCAGGCTTCATGCCTTCAGCAGAGGCTACAAGTCCTGCAAGTTTCATCTAAATCAGCCAAAAAACAACAAAGTTTTAGATATTTCATTGATTCCCCATTATACCCTATGGCCAAATCTCTGAATCTTTTCGGAATTGAAAAGCGATTCAATATGGATTCATAGATTTGGCTTCCAAATCATTTGAATCATCTCTGAATCCAAATCACGATCTGAAGCTTTGCACAGCCATGGAGCTGCAGGAAGCCCGGTGCTTCACTCCACAGCTGTAGACACAGCAAACTAAAACTCAGAGGAGCTTTAGTTTGCTGCACCCCAAGTCATTTAGGGTGCATTATACTGCCGAATTTCCTACGACAGTTGGAATTAATGCGCAACACACCACTCAGGCATGCAAACACCGACACCATTAAAGTGGTACAAAAGCATTTAGCCCACTTTAAAGTATTGTGCACACACACCCCTCATTTAATCTACACATGGCCATGGATGCTAAATAGGACTTCCTAGGCTTCTAGGTGGTGGAATCTGTAAGCAAAAGGAGCAAAGGACAAATCAGTCTGAATAGGCCCTGCATAAATATTCTTCTTAGAATGTTCTCCTTGTCATTTTGTGATAGAGGATACTGAGCTAGCTGGACCTGTGATCTGTCCTAGTATGACATTTCTTTTGTCCTGATGTTCTATGCTATCTTTTACCAATTAATGAATTGCACATAGATTATTTTTATATTTCTGCTTGGAAGTAAGGCAGCAATACATGGCAGGGAAAAATCAGTTGCAGTAATTCTTGTTGACATATTCAATAAGCTGTGTGCAAGCTTTATGCAGTATAATAAAATAGCAAAAGTTACATGGCATTCTTTGTGAATTACAAGTGTCAGTAATAAATAATTTTTATTTTTCCATGCTTGATATAACTTAGGATAGCAGAATTTGTTTCTTTTTTGTTGTCACTCCTTATATTAAGTAGTATGAGGAAATTCAACCAAAAATGTGAACTGGTTCATTTCTTTATTTTAAGCAGTAAACCAGATGTGAAAGCACAGCTCTTTAGAGCTCTTGATCTGAGGCTTGGAGGGTTAATTTTCAAAATGCAGATACTGCAGTATTAGTCTGGAGTTTGAGCATGTCATTTGCAAAAAAAACCCACTCTTGCATGTCATTTGCAAAAAAAACCAAACTTGATGACATTTCACTTCATGGCATTTCATTTTAAATGCCAGAGTGTTAACCACTAAAACTCCATTAATACAAGGAGAAAAACTGCATAGATAAAAGCAAAGAATAAAATAAGCAAAGTGCATAATGCTATTTTTCTTCTAATAGCAAAGCTTTAACCGTATTATCTATACAACACGATCTAGCCTGATTTCATTACCAACAATTTAGTGTGCGTTTTGTATTTTAAGAGGTGGGCAATTTTATAAGCGTCATTAGTTATGCTCTTTCAAATCTTTTACATGCTACCCAAAATTGGGTTTCTGGTTACGTATATTGAATACACTCAGGTCTCTCTTTATGCGAGGGTTGCGTTCCAAAAAAACCTCGCATAAAGCAAATTCGTATAAAGCAAAACCATTATTATATGTAATTAATAGGGATACATACCAGCCTCACTCTACTGCCCCCCAAGCCATATCATATTCAAACAGTAATCACACAATACAATAACTGCTGCGCGGAGAGGCTGCGAGCTCCACGCTGCAAGCAGCAGCATAGGCAGGGAGCGTGTTGCCAGGGCACCATGGGGCAGACTGGAGAGGCACCCGGGGGAGGGAAGCAGGGCAGCAGGGAATGCCAGCTGCTCGCCGCTCCTGGCTTCACCCTGCTTCCCTTCCCTGAGTGGTGACACTCCCACTGCACGAGCCGCTGCTTGCAGTGCAGAGTGACACCTTCTATGTGTGGCCCCACTGTTCCCTGCTTCCCTGCCCCAGGTGCCTCCACAGGGAGCTTGTAGCCTCTCCATGTAGCCCTGTTGTTCCCAGCCGTGCCAGGTCGTGGCCACTGGGCTGGAGAGGCGCCTGGGACAGGGAAACAGGGCAGCAGGAAATGGTGGCTCCTCATCCTGCACTGCCCTGGGGACGCACCTCCTTTGCTTGCTGCTCTTTGAGGGGCTCAGCCCCGCACCACAGAAGGTACGTGGCCAAAGCAGTGGGGTACGGGCTCTGGGACCAGGCAGGAAGAAAAGCCAAGCCAGGCCCAGGATTGGGGCCAGGGCCCACTGTGCCCGTGCATCCACTTCCCCTTGGAAGTGTGCATGGTAGTGGGGAGCCAGCCCTCCCCCAGTGAGCCACTGGAGGCTCCATCTTGCTCCCCACTGGGGCCCTGCTGCTTCACACTGTGGCCCTGGGCCCCAAGCACCCCCTGGCTGGACAGAAGCCCCAGCCCTGCCCAGCTCTCTTCCTATAGGGGCCTCAATTCCTTTCTTCCCCACCACTTACCAGCCAGAGCTGCCCTTGAGGCTACTTAGGGCCATGTGCATGTGCTATACATGCATGTGGCATCCCCTGTCTTATTGCCTTCCTTCCACTTCCTCCCAGCTCCCTGCAGGCTGGAACTCCGCCAGCCTGCTGGGAGCTCATTCCTGGCCGACTTCGCATAAGATCAGATTTTTCTTGCACAAAGTGAATTTCTGGTATAAATAAGGTTGCTGCCTATAAGTGAATTTGCACAAAACGAATTTGCATAGAGACCCGAGTATAATAAAACAGATTCAGAGTATATGTTTGTGTTGTATGGATGTTTGCTTATTAACATGTATGGAAATGTGGTACCCTTTACTGATTTCAAAGCCATGGATCACTGTTGATCTACAGAGTGTTTATTTGCAATCTTCAGAAAACTGGCTGGCACAGACCCTCTTGTGTTCCCCTTGTTAAATCACGTTATATAAAAAATTACATGACATGCTTTCTTAATTTTACTTTTCCAATGTTTTAGTCACCCTTAGGAAAACAGGTGGTCCACCCAGTCATAAATGGGAAAGGTGTCCACAAAACATTTTTTGTGAAGATGTAATCAACACTGAGAAAACCAAGAATCTCTCTGTAGAGCTATTAATTATGTGTTCAAATACTTTGCATAAAGCTGAAAATAATCTTCACATTGTCTTTAATAGAGAAACTGGCAATACTGTAGCTCATTTTGGAAACTGACAGTTTAGCCACTTCTATAAAAACTCAGCAGTGCTTGTTTAAGTAATGTGTTCCTTATTTTGACTACTAGTACTTGCCCTGGTTTTTAACCATGAGACCAGTTCTTATCTCTCTCTCTTTCTCAGCTGTACACTCTTCCTCACCAGCACTTCCTCTTCTGTTCTCATAGGATGAAAAAGCAGAAGGATTCATCAGTTTACCTGAGTTCAGGATAGATAGAGCCATTGAATGCAGAAGGAAACAGTAAGTGCTAATCAAGTTGTTCTACAAATATAAGGATTGTTTTAAGCATGTTGGATAAAGTAGGTCACTTGGAAAAGCAGACAGATACTAAGAATTCATAAGTGCCTGGAAAAAGAGAATTGTATAGAAAATGCTGAAACATGCCGACTTTATTTTATAGCCCATGTAAGTGTTTCTTCACTTAAAGGATGTAACTTGAAAGAAATGGCATGAGCTGTAACACAAATAGAAATAATTATGTACCTCTCTCACTCACTGTTCTGGTACCTGTGTTCAGTGTTAATGAAATGAGTGAATCAGTATAAAAATGTATTTCTAGGCAACAGGAAAAACTTTCTTAAATCCATGCAGCCTATAAGGATGGAACCACCTTCTTTCTGCAGAAGAACACTTAGTATCACAGAATAGGGTCACTGTAACTCATTATGCCTACTACAGTGCAGATGGGAGTAATATGTAGAAGGTGGTAATTTTTCATTTCATATTAAGGGTGTGAGATGTTCCCACTTGTTGTAATATTTAGGTTCCAAAGATTAATGAACTGCAGCTTGGTATCTCAACCTCTCCCTTGCATTGCTCAGCAGTATGTCACCATTACTTGCTTGTGTTCCCAATACAAACAAATCCATCTTTAAGGCATATTTAGTGATAGGCAGTTACTGACAGCATTGTAATTTACAAAATCTGTCTGGCCAGCAGGGCTGGTATTTGGACTGACAGCTGCTGAGTATAGGAGGATTAGCACAAGAGTTCCAGTGCTTTGAGACTAGCACTTCACCAAAGTATCATAATTTATTCCAATCTCACTTCTGCATACTGCCTATAAAATATTGAAAACTTCCTGCCTTCAGGAGCTGCAGAGAATAGCATTAATTCCATTATGAGATGCCATTAGCAGTTTCATTACTAAAGCTCTCCTAGTTATAATTTAATGTCTCATGTATCTACACATGAAGAACATGGTATTGATCTCTTCAGAAAACACTTCCTACAACTATAAATATGTACATAAGAAACCATTCATGATATTAATTAGAACAAGGACTATTGATGTAGATAACAGTTTTCCTCACTTACTGATTATTATCTCATCGTAGCATTACTCTCTCAGAAACAGACAGTAGTGTTGTATTTTGTACTGCAATTTTTCCTTACACCTGAGGAACTCAGTGTATTAAAAATTTGTCAATCCTCATAAATCCCCACAAGAGAAGTGAATAAATATTAGCAACAATCCAATACATAGTGTGGAAAATCCCCACTTTACTGAGGGTATAACTAAGGCTTACAGGGCTCCTATACATATGCAGGGAGGCTGCTTCAACACACTGTAATTCCAGCGCATCAGAGCAGACTTGATTAATCACCAGCTCCAGCAGAATAATCAAGTCTTCTAGGGCTGTATGAAACAGCTATGTTATGATTCGGTTTTGGATTCAGCATTTTGGAGGGACAGTTATTCATTTCGGTGTTTCGGATCGCTCTCCCGTTTCAGTTTTGCCGAATCTGTTTCAGAGTTCTGATGCTGTTTTGGTGTTTTGGCCATAGGCTATAATGGGGGATCACTAAAATGCCTATAATTTTGTCATTTCATGCCTCGTTTGGATAAAAATTGCAGGGATGGTAATCCCTTCTGAAGGCATGAATCCTGCTATGTTTCAAGGAGATAGGTACAGGGGCTTTTGTGAAAATGTACCTCAAACTGTTCAAAGCAAAACTCATATCACTTGCCAGCAATGGCAGCCTACTGTCATCCCACATGCAGATCCAGGGACTGTGCGGGGCTGTGCCAGACTCCTCCCAGGGGCTGCGGGCCCCTGGATCTGCATGCAGGATGACAGCAGGCTGCCACTGCAGGCTGGAACCAGTGCCAGCACAGAAAGACTGGTGCTGCCACTGGCCCAGCCAGCAATAGCATCCTGCTGCCATTTGCATGCTCCACGCACTGTGAAACTAAGAGGGAGGGGGAAGAGAGGTGGAAGGACTGCTCTGATATGACATCTATAGCTGGCCAGTGTCTGTGATCTGTCCCTGAGATCCCTTCCAATCCCAGTCCTCTAGGGGAAGGACAGCGGCCTGCTGTCATCCCACATGCAGATCAGGGGGCTGCACCCCCCAGGAGGGCTGCAGGGCTGTGCCAGACTCATCCACGGGGAACGGGCCGCCAGATCTGCATATGGGATGACAGCAGGCGCTATCGGGAGGCTCTGCCATGAGCCCTTGGAGGTCCTGATCAATCCTGCTGCAGCCAGTGAGTGCAGGGCTAAGCAGGGCAGAGATGGGGGCTTCTGCTGCAGCTCCTCCAGCTGTGCCTGCCTGGTGCTGCTGGTGAGTGCAGGGATTTAAAAAAAAAAAAAAGCTCCTGGACAGTGGCTGGAGCATGCAGATGACAGCCAGCTGGTGCTGCTGGCTATGGCCAGCAGCAGCACCAGTCTTCCTGGCACTCAGCGCATAGTGAGCCAAGCAGACTTGGGTGCCAGTGCTGGCCCCAGCCAGCAGCAGCAGCCTGCTGTCATCCCACACGCAGATCTGGAGGCCCGCACCCCCCAGGATGAGTCTGGCACAGCTTCGCAGCCCTCCTGGGGGGTGCGGCCCCCTGATCTGCATGCGGGATGATAGCAAGCTGCTGTCCCTCCCCCAGAGCACTGGAACTGGAAGGGACCTCAGGGACAGATCGCAGACACTGACCAGCTATAGATGTCAATATCAGAGCAGTTCTTCCACCCCTCTTCCCCCTCCCTCTTAGTTTCTGTTTCCCTGCAAGCCCATCTCCAAAACTCTGAAACTTTCAGAAATTTTCTGAAACATTTCAGATGGTTTCATTTCATTTCAGAGATGTTTCAGAGCCTTACATTTCATTTCAGATTCAGTGTTTCAGGTGCCAAAATGGGCCAAAATACCTCTGAAACAAAACAGCTGCTGAAATTTCACACAGCCCTTAGTAATTATAACCGGCTCCAGCAAATTAATCAAGTTTGACAAGCATTAGTTCAAAGCACCCCACCACCATTTTTCAGTGTGGGGATGCTGATACGCGTGACATTCCAGGAGCTTTTAATTAGTATACCCCACCCCCACCTTCTGGAGCATGTCTATAAATGCCGACAGAGGTTAGGTGATTTAACTGAGTTCAAAGTGTCAGTGCACAAAATTAGAAAGAGCTTCTAGTCCTTTGCTCTAAACACTTCCCCCCAGAAAACCATTTCCAAAGTGTACAGACACTGAAGGAAAGTCGGGGCACATCCAGACAGGCACAATCATAAGGTATGTGGCACCACAAACACATTTGCAGTGCCACATGCTGAACAGCCTGGTATTCTCTGCACTGCAAGGGTGCACTGCCCGATCATGCGCTGCTCTATTTTTTCTTCTGCTAGATATCCAGGGGTAAAAAAAAATAGCAGGAAAAAAAAACACTGCAGCTGCCAGCCAGGCTCTGCCCAGAAGGATCACCACAGCTGCAGACCTAGAAAGCTCGCAGGACCCCAGTTAAGGCTTCTGGGACCAGCCCAGTGCTGGCCCCAGCCTAACCTACCACCCTCAGGGTAACTATCCGAGTGCCAAAGTGCATGTGGCATGGTCATTCCCAGGGGACAAGTAGCAGTGGTGCAGGGTGCACTGCTGCTACTTGTCCCTAGAGAACCAAACTTTCACACACATCTGGATATGCCCTCTCTGAGTCTAACTTCTGTTTTTTCACAATGTTTAGATTAATGTGTTTTAGAACACAAATCTGCCATCCAAAATCAGCTGCAAATTTCCTTGGACACGAAGGGAAAGTGTTTATGTCTATCCAATATTGAGAGTCTCTGTGTCTGCAGAGTCAAATCATTTTTCAGTGTTGAAGGCTGTATAATAATCTTTTTAGAGAGTTACATGCTATTTGTATTTTACAATGTGAAAATTATTAAGAGATATAAAATAAGAAACCTGAGAAACCTAGCTTCCTTTACCTTCTCCCAAGGCACATCCCAAGACTCCACTTATACCTAACATACCCTAATTCAAGCTCCTCCTACTTCATATAACTCCTAGCACCACTCCACCACTATTATAGGCACATTTTCCTTGCATGAAATATTCTGGAATTTGTATTTATCATTCCTCTCTGGAGAGAGCTCAGGATGACTTCCCATACCTAATTCCACCCAAACAATAAAGAAAATATTTAGCAAAAAACAGCCTTCTGCCTTCTCTGGTTTTTAGAAAGTATTGAAAAATGTTGCTTTCTAGGACCTCCACTTCAGAATATTTCTCTCACTAGGTAGCACTTTTTACTAAATAACTATGAAATTTAGTTTGACCCAAGAAATCTGAAAAATTAGCTTGATCCTGTGTTACAGGACATACTCCTATATTTCAAGAGTAGCTCCATGAAGCTTAGTCAAACTACATGACTGCAAATAGTTTAAATGGAAAGAGCATCAGGCCTAAAAACTGATGTAAATACAGATGCAGAACTGGTGAGGGGAGGAGAAGGAGGTTGGTTGTACCCTACTTCGATTCCTGGTCCACTCAAACTTTAAAACCAACTGCCTGGGTGGGGCAGCAGTATTTCTATTCAGGCAGTAATGACTTTTTAAATGCTTTTGATGGTACAGCATTCAAACTATACTTTCTTCCACCATTTTGTTGTCTATTAGACATTACCAGGAATGGCTCTCTCCTATTTCATACCCCTAAAGACAGTTTTTAGCTTTAACTAAAAACCTTAACTGAGATGTGGTAATATTAACTCAGGTTTAGAAATGACTGACAGCAAAGTATTAGAGGCACTGTTAAGACACTCAAGAAGTCTATATTTTATGAAACTGAATGAAATGTACATTTAAATATAATGACTACAGGGCTAATGACACAATATCTTTTGACTATTTTTGCCATGTTTGTTGTGTTTTTTCAAACTCAATTTATAATCTAGCAAATGAGTGCACATTCCAATAGTTATATTTGTTCTTGCTTTGTTTTTAAACTGAGTAATAAAGAGCTAGCTCCCTATC